AAATTAAACTTATTTCAAACATTATTTTGTTTAGTCCTCATATTGTCATACCACATATGAGAGCAAAGGTACACCTTAACTTTAAATTTACCCAACATAAATAAATTTCTAACAACCCTTATTATAAGTATTTGGAAATGATTGTGAGGTTCCTCAGAAACTTGGAAATCTAGGAATAAAGTTGTTTTCTTGGTGTTCAAATGTAAAATCAACACATAATGGATTGAATAAAGACATGAACTATTCTTTATTTTTATTATTTTATTTTGAGATGGAGTTTCACTCTTGTTGCCCAGGCTGGAGTGCAATGGCGTGATCTTGGCTCACTGCAACCTCCTCCTCCACCTCCGGGCGTTCGAGCACTTGCTCCTGTCTCGGTCCTCCCACGGTAGCCCGGGATTACAGGCATCCTGCAACCACATGCTAGCTCGATTTTTGTATGGTTTAGTAAGATGACAGGGTTTCCCACTATGTTATCGCTAGGCGGTCTCAAACCTCTGACCTTGTGATCCGCTTGCCTTCCGGCCCTCCCAAGAGTGCTGGGCTCCCACAGGCGTGAGCCCACTGTGCCGCCAAGCCTATTCTAAAAAAGGAAAAGTAGGCACTTCCCACACTCTCTGGAAGCGACTGGGATGTTAACTCAGACGACATAAAAACATATACTACAACACATCGTGGTCCGGCCCGGCGCGCCGGTGGCTCACCTGTAACTCCCGCACCTTTGGGAGGCCAAGCGGGGGGAATCACCAGGTCAGAGGAGATCGACGACATCCTGGCATAACATGGTGAAATCCCATCGCTACTAAAAACTACAAAAACTAACCTGGCGGTCGGTGGCGGCGCGCCTGTACGCTCCCGCTAACTCGGAGGCCTGAGCAGAAGAATGGCATAAACCGGAGGCGGGGTTCAGCTGAAGCAAGGATGGCGCACTGCACTCAGCTGGGCCTGCAGAGCGAGACTCCAACTCAAAAAAAAAAAAAGAAAAAAAAAGAATGTGTGCGACTTTCAGAAATGGTAACATGTTGGTGGTCAGTGGTTCCCTGTTCAGGAGAAATTCTAGGAAAAGGCCATCACTGAGTAAATACTGCAAATAACCTCTAAACTTA